AATGATGTCCCAGAACTCTTCTATCCCGTTGGATTGGATGAGGCACAAGTAGTCTGCCTCTCCAGGTCACATGTTTCTGTGTCTTTCTGAAGAGTGACAGCTTTTAAGGAAGGGCAGTGGCTATATCCATTTACACTGCTGTTAAATCTGTGCCTTTAGGCATTCCATGGGGTTGTTCCAAGCATGTATTTGAACTTCTTCCAGCTGAAGAAGGAATTGAATTCTTCTCTTTACTTTCAGGTTGAGCACTCTATCAGTAGGCTGTTATAAAAGGGCTGTGTGCCTTAGCATTTTAAGAGTGGGCCTCAACATCTTCCTGTGAAGGACAAGAGCATGCATCATGCAACAGTCATACTCTGAGAATGAGCTTCCTGAGAATCCCCACACCTAGTTTTTGATCCCAAAAGCATTTTTGCAGGCTGCATGCTCCTCACACTGCAACAATTCTGTACATATGAAGTCTAGTCCATCAAGGAATTTGAGTGTAGAGATGCAAAGTGCATTCAGACTTTCAGATTAATAGTTAGCTAGATGGGAATCCAGAAAGGAAATTACCTTCTGTTTAAAAGCCACAATATGTAATTGTGTAGTTTCCTGGCTCATTGGAAACAGATTAAGCTCAAAAACACGCACTCTCTGGGTCCCAAACTTGAGACAATTCAGTGTTATTTTCAGATTTTTCTCTGGAGAAACTCTCTGCTACCATCTTGTGGTAATTAAGAGGAGGAGACCTAAAAAACAAACATTCTCTGTTCTTACGGGAGTCAAGGGTTAAAATTCATTCCATATTTGGACTAATAAAACATGGAGAGTGTGATGTAACATTTCAGGAGAGAAGAGTAAACAGCACGGTAGGGTAGAACAAAGTAGCATAGTATTTCTCTCTTTGTGATCAGAATATTATTTATAGCAGTAGTATGGCTAATTGATGACCTTTATTGTTACATTAGACAGCGCTTATTCAGGACATATATACAGTACTTACCTGTGTCCAGATAAAACTGCTATATTTGAGTGGATAATGGAGTTGGGCATATTCAGAAGGAGAAGGAGGTTCCCTGTAGATTTTTGCTTTGCTATGGAACCACACACTGTTGTAAGCACAGATCTGCCTGGTATCCGATGGAGAAATCATACCAGTGTGCAAACAGTAGTGCTTTCAGATGCAAATCCAGCATTCCAGTTGGAGATAACAGCCAGCAGGAGACAGCAGGAAGACACTTGTCTTCAGAAGTCCCTCTGGTGGCACAGGACTAGCCCAAAACCATTCCTGAGTTCTGGGACACAGCTATCCACTGACAAGGTGTGATGGAGTACAGCCAACAACTGAGACTGAGGCAAAACTCCACTCCACAGGGTGAGTGTTGGAAATAAGGCTTGCTACAAAAAAATGGTTGTTTCCATAGAAGCTCCACTTTCCCAAATTAATACTATGCTATTCTAACTCATAAGGCATTTATTTGCTTTACAGACAGTTTCAGGATATACCTCCTGTAGATCATATGTAAAAATCAGAATTAGTAGCTTGAATGGGCAACTAGATGGTTTCAGACTTCTTAGCTAGTTATTTAAAATGAGCATAGATACTTCCAATCAAGCATTGGAGATGGTAGGACAGCTCTAAACAAGTCTCTGGGTTTCCATTAAACTACTAGAAACTGCAAAATTACTTGGACTGAAGTTTAAGAAAACAAACAGGCCTGCAAGAAACAATTGGCATAGAAAATTTTAGTCCTGCTGAGTTTTTGAACTGAATACAGGACTGACAGTAGCATCTCGAAATGGTTTTGTTACCTTTATATGCCTGTTTGTCAATAAAATTAGTAAATAAAATTAATTGGAAAAGGACTTTTCCATTTGCATCCCATTGGTGATGCAAATGGAAAAAAAGAAAGTTTGTTTTATTCCATGTATTGACTTTGAATTGTTGTATTCAGCTTTCTGATTCTTGAAAGTCTTGTTCATTAGAAAGTCTGTGGAAAGTGGAATCAAGCTCCAAGACAAAGTAAGGTTTTTCAGATGTAACTTGGGATACCTCAGCAACAATCAAGATCTTTTCTTTATACATTGTTGAACCATCTTGGATGAAAAACCTATTGTATTTACTGGAAAAATGAAAAGAGCTGGGTGTTATGTGGATGTGCCAGAAGTAGAAATTCAAATTCCCACCACTGAGAATTTATGAGTTACTTTTTTTCCCTTTCCCCAAAATGTAGAGTCTGGTTTAGGATGTGTGAAATTTAAAGAAATTAGAGGACAGAAAGAGAGAAGAAATCTTGTAATTTTAAGTACATTAGTGTCATGTACTGTATCTTCAATAAGCTGAGATGTTTAGATTTAAATTATACACCATGAATAATCTTATTACTTGTTTAAACTTGACTGTGTATGTAATAAATGAGAAGGTAATTAAGCAGTTAGAAATTAATCATAAATTCACAATAGAAGAAGACATAGTGTGAATGCACAATGATTGTATAAAAGGGTGGATATATTATTTAAAGAAAATTGCATCTTTGGTTCCTCGGATGCTTAGGCTCAGTGGTTTGATGAAATTTATTGCAGTGTTTCCTATCTGCCACACTGAGTAGAAGAGTCTGTGGTGAGGCCAATGTTGTGTTGTGTTGCACAGTGCACTTAGGCGAGGCTGAGGAAGTCTGGCTTGTGAAGGCATTAGAGGCACATCCTGGATTAGTGGACTGAGAGCAAAAAGCAATCATTCCTAAGTGTGGGATGGCAGGAGTTGGGAGTGCTGTGGCTGATAGTGCCAGTTAATGACCATTAAGTAGGGAGAAGGCAGACTCGGCAAAGAACTGCCCAAAGAATATGTCATTAGAGCTGCTCATGGGCACGCCCTCGTGTTGTCCATGCATCGGGGGCATTCTGACAGCAGCTATTCCAGCCCTAAAGTGGTATCAGCAAGCCTCTGCTAGAGACAGAGGTCGTGGTGTAACCAGAGCCAGCAGCTGAGCACCATGCAGCTGCTCACCCACCCCTCCTCCCAGTGGAATGGGAGGGAGAATCAAAAGTAAAACTTGTAGGTTGACGTAAAGAAAGTTTAGTTCTTGAAATATAAATTGAAAAACAAAAAGTAATATATATGAATGATAGTAAATAAAAATGGGAAGAAGCAAAACTCAAGGAAAACCAATTGATGTGCAATAGTTACTCACCCCCTATTGAGCAATGCCAGACAGAGTCCTTACAGCCTGATCAGTCCTGCTTCCAGGTAATTCTCCAGTTTATATACTGGGGATGGTGCTCTATGGCCCTCTGACCAGTTCAGGTTACTTGTTCTGGCCGTGCTCCCTCCCAGCTTTTTTTGTGTACCTCTTCACTGGCAGAGGATGAGACACAAAAAAGTCTCATCAAAATTAAGACAAACACAGGTTGGCAGAAATCAAAATGTTAGTGTGTTATCAACACGATTCTCATACTGAATCCAAAACACAGCACTGTACCAGCTACAGAGGAGAAACTAACTGTATCCCAGACAAAACCAGAACAAAAATTTTCTTCAAATGTTTTCTTCACACTGCTTCCCTGAAAAAAAGAATTCCTAGCCAGTGGCTTTTCTGGTGACAAAAGGAGTGTTTAGGTAGGGTGTAGTGCACTTGTGCTACTTAGCAGTATGATGTTTTTTTCTCTGATGACATATGAATAGAGGTTCACAGATCACATCTTTTTCTAAAAAGGTAGCTTTTCTGATTTAGCTATAAAGCCTTTAGAGATGAGAAACACAAGCTGCAAAATACCACCATAATATTAGGGTGTTTTACCCATGGAAGTACTCCACTTCAATATTTAAATACTTCTTGATTGATACACATTGTTCCGTGGCAGTGGATTCCAGAGGAAAACGTCCTCCAGACAAGGCTAGATGGCGCAGTAGGCCAATGCATTGAAGTTTTTCAGACGTTTTAAGGTCTGCAGATTCCTGTAAATTTCCACAGCCTCATATATTTATTGACATACTGATGCATTGATTAATGTCAAAGAATCTCATTACCTTCTGTGGCTTTTCTGAGTCATTATTTTTCATACTCATCCAAGTAAAACTTCACCTAGAAGAAGCTTCCAAGGTACTTTCTGGACTAAACAACATAAATACTTTTTTCATTTTTTGTACCTTGCCTTCCAAGCAGAAGTGTAGTTGAGGGCAGAGTCTGGCTGCTTCTAATTTGGGAAAATTAAAGTTTATTTCATTCTTACTGCCCTCTTGAGTACCGCAGTAGTGTGTTTATAGATACTTTGTATACCAATGAACCACTGTCTCCAAATAACTTACCAAACATTAAAGAAATCTTCAGTGTCAGCTGTTTCCTCTATGAAAAAGGAAATGTTTTTGAAAATACATTATTAGTGTGCCCTCATTACTTCTTCTGTCTACCATGAAAAAGAAAGCTGAATCTAGTAGTGAAAAATTTCTGTTTTGCTTAGAAAACCTCAGGAGAACTACCCGGACAATTTGGTGAAGCTAGTTAGTAAGCATTAAGTGGAATATTTTTTGGTTGCCAAATTTGGCAATTAGCAAACTGGCAGTTTCTCAGATAGAGAATATTGTTTACATAAGAAGTTCAAATTAATTGTCTATCACATGCATTGTTATTTGCATGAAGATAACTAAGTCATGATTGGTGAGTTATTTATATTATCTAGAAAAGGTCAGGAGAAGAGTTATTAACATTTGAGCAGCAGTATGTGACATTTTAAATAACCCCTGTTATCAAAAAGGTTGAGGGTAACAGTCAAATGGTTAAAGTACTGAGCATTTAGCATCTGCTCCCGTGAGGTGTCAAGAGCCTTTGCAAGGCACTGAATGCACTCAAATTGCATTAAACTAATGAGGGAACTCACTTCCTTAGAGGAGATTCTCAGCCACTGTCAGGATGAAGCTATTATCATGCAGCAGTAATGGATAGTAGGAAAAAGCCATTTCCTTCTTTAATTTTTATTTATTTTTTATTTTTTATTTTTTTTGTGTGTATGTGTGTATGTAGCTTTCGACTCCTGAAATGGCTTGTGAAAGTTAAAAATGCTCTGTAAGCTGAGTGTCTGCAAGCAAAGTACCTTCTGTCTGGTCTTCTCTGAGAAGCACAAAAGCTGAAGACAACGGAGGGAAATTGAAGAGAGCAAGAGGCCATGAAAAACTTGATGTGGTAAATTTAAGTCCTTCCCTGAAATCTGTTTCCATAGCATACTGCAGCTCCAGACATCTCTGCAATGGGGCCACTCCTTAGTGTATGGACACGTTGGTGGGAGCTCTCTGCTGCCAGCCTTTGCCCTGAGATAGAAATGCAGTTGCTCAACAACCTAACTGCACAAATCCCAGGAATCACAACACACCACTCATCAGCATTCACAGCTCATATTCCTGACTTGTTCCAGGATAATCTGGTTGTCCTGTCATGGGGCTGAGGAAGGTGCTGGTTTAGATCCACTTTGTGAGGGTTTCTACTCTTAAAACAGCAAGCACTGTGCCAGCTGCTTGTGGTATTTTGAATTGCTACAACACTGATTTTGGAAGGTTCAGGCCAGAAGGAAAGTAACTGCTGTATTCCACAGGAAAATGACAGCAACTAAGAGAATCTGTGAAGATTTAAAGAAGTGTGAATCAAGGTGATGCTGCTTTAGAACACATACCTCCTACTTAAGTAGGAGCATTTTTATTGAGGCAGTGTCCATACACTTCATATATATAATCATAAGAGATACGTGCAGAACTCTGCAGAAGGAAATACTCTGGAGTTCGAGTGACACCCTAGTGAAAGAGACAGAAATAGGTGTTTAAATTACTGAAGAAACTCTCTCCTGAAACCTCCATCTCTTTTATGTCTGGTCCTACATAAATATTGGACAAAGTAAATTCCAAATAATTGAGGAAATTTGAAATAGAAGACAGATGATGATTATATACAGAGAGGGAAGCACAAAGAAATATTTTTTTATGTAGTGAGTAGTGATAGCTGGATTATATGATACTCCAGCTACATTGAAATTTAACGGCATTGTATTATCTAGTGTGAAGTTGCTCTGGGGAAGCAAACAGACTTCATTAATTTCTCAAGCAATTGAAATGTGGGGTCCATTCTTAGTCTATGCCCTGTCACCAGGGGTGGAACAAACTGCTGAGTATTCTTAGCTCCTTTCTGTGGAAGAAAATAAACCAGCAATGGTTTCTGAAGCTGGCATGGTGAGATAATGCTAGAACCCATCTTAGCCCCAAACCACAGAGAGAATTGTGGGTCTTCTAGGGAGCTACTTTCATCTTTTTAGGACAATGATCTTGTTCTACTCACATCTTGGAGGGATTTGATGAGTGTCTTATGATTCCTAGCCCTCTGGTTTAAGGGTCAGCAAAGGTCTCTGTGCTTGGGTTAGTCCATGGAAGGCCTTGAAAGCCAGGAAAGGAAGTCAGAGATGTTGTGCTTAAAGAAAGATAACCAGTCAAAATGAAAGATAAAGATACAATGCTGGCAATAATATACTGAATAGATATGAGCAGGTCAATCTGGAAAAGGCCAGGGAGAAAAGTTCCTTAGGCGCTGACATGAGACACAGCAGACTTTTTAGAGAAGTTTTAGCTAGTTATATAAATACCAGAGCCTAAGCTGTAGAAATATTATGTGGAAATGATGCTCAGAATTTAGATCTAACCTGCCAGTAAAGATATAAGAGAGTGTAGTCAATGATAATTCCTAAGTTATTGACTTGAGAGACTAAGTGTTGGTTCTTACCTCAGAAAAGGAGAGTGGGGGTCATGTAGTAGATTTATGAGAAGGTTAAGTGTGCCATCAATTTTCCAGAAAATAGTTTAAGATTGGAAAAAAATTATGACTAATGTGGAGAAGTAAATATCAATAAAAAGAACTGGATAGTATGTCTGGGCATATTCTGCTGAATGGACCTCTTGTTTTTACAGATTGGGTAAATGGGCCTTAGTTCATTTTGTATTCATGCTAGGAATTGTTTTTCATATTGCGTGGTACATGGTAACATCAAGGCTATGCCTGGGAACTTGTGGTTTCTGAGAGTTTTCTACTGTGGTTTATAACTCAAAACTTACCTTGAAACCCGATGGACATCATTGAAACACCAAGACTTACTCACTGATGACACAATCATGTATCATTACCTTTTTTCACTTCCCCTCAACATCTTTGTCCTCTTTGTTATGCTGTGTCATTTTCTGATCAATTAGATCAATCTGTTGTGTATCATTACTCATCTGCTGCTTCACTGTCAGCTTCTGTCCCAAACACTGAATATCCTGCTAGTTACCAGCTTAAAACTTTACATGTTTAAAAGTTTGTTTTTATTCTTAACAGTCATGGAGAAGAAATTGAGAATTCCCCTCAAATTAATGTAAATTCCTTTTTACACCTTTGCAAGTGATGGGTTTCATAGGAATTTTTTTTTTTGCTTACTCACACCTTTGAGTCATTATTCAAGAATAACAAAATTAAAACATCATTTGATTTATCCATATAAAATGAAAGTATTCCTTCAGAAAATTTATGTAATTTATGTTTTTGACCATAATGCCACTTCTTCTGTTTTCTCACCAGTTCTGTTCACCCAGAAGATTTCCTGAAGGATGCATAAATCTGACATGAGAATACATGAATAACAGTTTGATGGTACCAGATTTTCTTTTTTGACCTCACCAAATGTCACCTTGTAGCAATACCAATCATCCTATGTGGGCAGAGAAAAGGAATGATGAGAGACAAGTTGTTTCTTTCTTGTGTATTTAGTTGGCATTATTAATCCTTTGAGCATCTAGTGAATCTTTAGACATACTTTGAAGAATCTGTGGTTGCATTTGGTTTGGTTAATTTTGATTCATGGGGAGAGATCAAAGGATCTTGAGAACTCTGTTGTGGTTACCCAGAGCTGCACGTTTTCTTTGTGGTAATGTGCAGTAATAAAATGCCTTGAGAGATACCATGAGATTTGTCAAGTGGATTACCTCATGGTGGATGTCTCACCTTGTAGCAGTGAAAATGGAGTGTAGTTGTGTGGATGTTGGGTAAGGAGGAAACCATGGATGAAAGACAGGAAAAAACAAAGATGTTACAAGAAGAGCAAACAGTGACAACAACATTTAGGGTATTAGAACTAACAATTGAAAGGAGACACATTATATTCAGAATTTTTTTGATCTTCTGGATTATATTCAGACTTCAAAATTGGTATGACATAATAGGTTAAAACCTCTTAAATTTCACAGCTTTGTGTGATCTGAGCTTCACAGATTTATGATTTGTATTTTGGCTATAATTTTCTTCACCTGCTACCATCACCACTCACAACATAAGAATATAAAAATATAAAAATAATATAATATATAAGATATAATATAAAATATAATATATAAGAATATAAAAAGATCTTGTCTGTGTTGCTTTTCCTGTGTAGTTTAAATCCCCTTCAGGTTAGCAGAGTGTGAGTGAACCATTAGGTTGTTATTACTACCGTGGGTACTCAGGCCTACCAAATCCTTGGGGAGTAAAAGGTGTGTGGATCCTTGGAATGGCCCTGTGATGGTGTAATAGCTCCATCAGTGTGTGGTATTTCCATTGCCGAAGACCTTTTTGAGATACCTTTCTGTCAGTTTCTCAAAAACTCCTAAAAATGTAGACAATGCATTATTTTGACACTGATGTCATAATTTTAAATGTAGAAGCAGTACTGCTACCACTTCTGTCTGTTTGAATCCTTCCTCCTTCTTCACTGTTCTGTCACTGTATTGCTGACATCTCTAGTGAGTTCCTTGTCCACTTGGCCCCATTCCGTTTTTAAACATGTTGTAGGACACTTTTGCCCCCTTTTGTTCATCTAAACCCACTTAAGTTTCTATTATGAAGGAGTTCAGCTCACCCAAGTGACTTGAGGCTGTTCTCTGCCTACCTTTGTTTTCACTTGCCACACCCCTAATTTTGTGTCATCCAAAAAAATTTACATTTTTTTTCAAATAAAAATTCTTTCTGGAAATGTGAAATAACATGCAGTCCTGGAAAACCGGTGAAAGCAGTTTAGTGCAATTTTTTTTGAAATTATAAAAAATATTTCTCTGCGTCTGCAGAAGGCATTCAGCAGACATAACACAGGATGTATGCCTAACCATTATAACAATACTAAGTTGAATGTTTACAAAATGTTTCATTATAACTGTCTAGATGAGCACTCCTAATGGGCCTTCACCATCTTCTAGAGGATTATGTTAGTGAACTGATTCATATGTGTATTATTCAAGGTTTCAGTAATTCCAGAGTCATTGATCTTTTGCACAAGTCTTTCCCATGATTCCTACCAGTTACAAGGTGGTTTTACATTTCAGTCACCTGGAGTTGCTGCTTTAGCATGTGAGCAATTAAAATTTTCCTTTATCTCATTTGTCACATAGATTGATTTTCTCTCTTAAGTACAGATTTTTAGCTTGCACAGCACTTTTGATTCCTTTTTCCCCATTCTTCATATCTCTGCCCTTTTCAGTGCTTACCAAATGTATCAGGAGAAGTTTGGACCAGAAGGGCTTTCAAGAAGCACACTGAAACAAGGCAGCCCTGTTTGCAATTTACAGAAGACTTTTGGAAAACGTTATAAAGCAGAGAGAAGTCAGGTTCTGCCTGGAATTATAATCTCAAGCACAAACAAAAAATTCCCAGTCAAACTTTACCAACAATACCCTAATATGAGCTTAGAAGTGCTCCACTAAAAAAAGCACTTTTTTAAAAATCTGTAGTACGCAGAGATGCAGTGAGAAGGCAAGCAGAGTTTTCCAATAGCCATATTGTGCTTTGGCATGTAGTCAACTTGCTAACATGGAATCAAAGTGATATTACAGACATGATCAACTTTCTTCAAGAAAAAATACAAACCTATACAGAGAGCATCTTAATTGTGCAAATGAAGATATTAATTTAAACTTTAATAACCACTGTCTCCACAAATCAGCATTGCAAGCATTTAAGAATCACAGATTAAAGCGGGAAGCATTGGATCAGTTTATTTCCTAGAGCAGAGTTAAAGGAAGTTTAATGGGTCACCTGCAAGTCTTCTGGGAAATTAGAATGGTAAGGCCTTCCAGAAATGATTGAATTTTTCATCTGCAGTTAAAGTCCCCAGCACAAATGTCATGTCTCAACTTTATCAGTGTGTGCATGTGTGAGTAGAGGATGCTACAGGATATGACCGATTCTCAAATGAAAACATTAAGAGAGAAGGTCAGTGCTACCAAAAGTCAGGGATTTTGCATGATACTTGTGTACACTGCAGATTCATCAAAATTTGTCCAGTCTCAGCAGGATTTCTGTGCATTTGACAAAGATGTCTGGTTGTTGTATCCAGGTCTTTATTTCAGTGCAATAGGGACAGTGCAGCCTATCATTTTTATATAAGAAAAATGCAATGCAGTGCAGTCACACAAGAGTAAAGAACAGACAGGAATGAATCCCTCGTCCTCTGCAATAAGATTTCCCCAGTAACTCTCATACTTAACACTTTCACAGCAGATCTTTGGTGACCTAGTTAGTCTCCACATAAATTTAGAATTTCAGCTTTGTGAGAAAAGTACAAAATTTTATTTGTAAACATGAAATTGCAGTTTCATATATAGGGCAGCAGTAGGCAGAATTTTTCCACAATTTTTCATTAGAGGCTTCAGTCACAGGCAGAGAGGAAAGCCAGAATTAGAAGGCCCATGTGGAAAAGTGAAAGGCACATTTGCTGTCACCTGTCTTGAGCGCAAGAAGTAGTTGCAGCCTCTCTTTACACTCTCAGATCATGCTCGTTCAGAGGATTATTGGGGTGGAACAGGGAGAGGCTGTTTAAGTTCTCAAAGCTGTGAGTGGCATAGACGCACTTTTGTCCTGTGTTTAAATGGCTCCATCTTTATGTTTGGAAAATAGCTTTGAAAAAGTTGTTTTTTGAAAAGACTGTTACTCTTCGTTGTAGTATCTGGAGCTCTCTTTTTGGAGCACTTACAGGAGAAATGGATGTAATGCTTAGAACTTGTGTGTCAGATCTGAAGCTGCTGTGAGGCAAAGTCTTCTCACAGACCTGTTCTGATGGCAGCTTTATAATTACTGATCTTGCTTTTCTTCCTAAGATGCTGTGCAGTTACAAAGATGCAGGCTTTCTTGCATAAGCTGTTGTGAGATCACACCATTGCCATCTCTTCTGACACTGAGCTAAAAATGGATATTTTTTCACCATGAGTCAATACCTCAATACAAGAAATGCAGGCTGCCTTTTGAACTGCCCCTTATTGTAACCACAGACTGTCTTTAAAACAGCAACTCTCAAGACCATAAATCTTAGCTGACATGCCTGTGATCCACTTTTGTTTAATTAGTCACAAAATCCTTCTGCTAGCCACTCGCCCCACTTGCCATCAGTAGAAAAGATTTATGATATTATGATAAGCTGGCACTCCTGAAGGGCAGCATGTGAGCACTCAGGTGGGAGAGGACAAGTAAATAGGACTTTAATGAGGAAGTGGCAACATACTGGCACCAATATTTTTTTTTCTTTTTTTCTTCTTTTTTTTTTTTTTTTTTTCTGAAATAAATGGAAGGAGCATATACAAAAGTTTTCATTTATTGAAGAAGGCAAAATGTAGGCTAATTTCTAAATTATATCTCCGGCATTTGTTTTTTAAAATTCTTTCTGTAAAAAATGGATTTGAAGTTTATTTCTAATTTTAGAGTATTAGGCAGACTAATTAGGGAGATTCTTCCAGTATAACATGTAAGACCAACATGGCATGTAGAACCATGTAGCTTTCACATCCTGGTGTAAAAATGCACAAAAGGCTCGCTTATGTATTTCCCTTTTTTTTCTCTGAAACATGAGTGTTTTTTGTATCTTTATTCTAAAAGCCCTTTCACACTTTTTTGGGGGTTTGGTCATACAGATATGTTTTCTTTGGTAGTCTGAATTACTAAACTTTCCATTTCCCTCCATCTTAATAAATATATATGTTTAGTGCATATATATATTATATATATATTATATAAAAATAATAAAATAATGAAACTTAGTATGCAGTATAAATCTACCTTTGGTGCAATTATGCTGTTTATTAATCAAATAATCCAATTCTTTAAAGTATCTATTAGCACATTTTGAATGCTGATGACTATGCACAGTAACTTTCTGATATTTAAATAAGCAAACATGGTCTAATTCACATTATCCTTTTGCTGGAGTTTTGATTTCCTTCTCACTGCCTTTGTTTTCTTATGGACAGAGGGAGTAATCAGTGTTGTATGTAAGGACTGACTGTTTTGGATTTGCTTCAACTCTGATGAGGAGGTATGCCTTGTCTTTCTTACATGATCTTGAGCAAGTTTGTTTCCCCTCTTGCTTTAATCTTTGTAGATAAAACATTTTTTGTAACCTAGTCCTTATCCACAAAATCTCTGTCTGTGCAACCTGTTTCTTGGAAAATAGCATTGATGCCATGCCTGAAAAGCATTGATGGTAGGGTAGGTCTTGTGGCAGCACCTGACATTTAGCTTCCTGCTGATTTATATGTCTGGAAGCTCTGTTTGTCAGCATTCATTCACTGACCATCTCTGTTAGAAACATGAAGACTCATGTTCTCGGCATGAGATATGTCCTGATAAATAGCCTCCAGCTTATTATTATTAGGAATTTACCAGTTAACTTTCTATTTATGTATGAGAACCTTGCAACATTTGATCAACCACAATTAATAAATGTTCTAAATATCTAACTTTAGCCATTTGTTTTTAGGTGTTGAAGTTACTAGAAAAGAGTACAGTTTGCAAGGAAAGTTGTTGATTGACCTGAAGTCCTTACACAGAACCATGAAGTTCTCCCTCTTATGTAGTAAGACAGGTTTATTTGGAAAGGACTGTAGTCATTAAGCTCTGAATGTTAAAGCCCTTCGCAATACTAGAAGAAAGAATAATGACTTTTGTATCAGAGGCTAATTTGTTTTGGCCATGTAGAAGAAATGCGAATTCCAGCAGCTTAACTGTATCACAGGGATAAACTCGTTGATGAAGCTACTTTGCTGTAGCCTTGCCAATTCACTCTTGATGCAAGGAGCACCATTCAGTTTACTATTAACTGGAGCTGCTCAGGCTGTGACATAGTTCTGGTTTTTCTCAAGGTTAGGCAAAGGAGGGGCTTTCCCTACTTTTGGAAAAAAAAATTGTGGGCATGCTTTTAAATGGATACAAACTTTCTA